CAGGACAGCTGGGGCTATAGGGAGACCCTGTCTCAAAAAAAAAAAAAAATATTTTTAAATGAAATCAGTTTTCGTAAATTGTTACCTGTTTCATGTAGCTCGCTACATAAGCTGTAAGTGCATAATCTACTTTATTATATTTCACTTACTAATTTAATATATAGAAAAATTTGAAAAATTAGATTTTGCATATTTTTCTTTACCTGTTTTCTTCATTTGTTTTTCCTTCTCAGAACCCTCCAGCCATTCTTTGAAGGATTATTACCCCGAGACAATCCAAGAAATACTCGATTTGCCATCAACTTTTTTACCTCTATAGGTCTTGGAGGTTTAACGTAAGAACTGTTTTCAGAATTTTATCTTCATCTTATAAAACTACTCACAACTATCTTTGAGGCATAACTTAACACATTCTATTTCTAATTAGGGATGAATTGCGTGAGCATCTGAAAAATACACCAAAGGTCATCGCAGCACAGAAGCCAGATGCCGAGCCAAAGAAATCCTCCCTGGCCTCCTCGTCTTCAGCCTCATCCTCTTCTGAGTCTGGTTCCTCTGACTCGGGTTCTGACAGCAGTGAGAGCAGCTCAGGGTCTTCCAGTGAAGACAGCGACTCCTCCTCCAGTAGTCAGAGCTCTGCCTCGGGTACTGAAACTCATTTATAATTTAGCCTGCTCTTTTCTAACAAGTATAATGTGGGTGATACTTATAATGAGGGGAGAACGTTCGATTGCTGTGTATTTATTTTAGAGTCATTTGTTTAAAGCCGCACTTGATAAGAGATGATCACCACTACTGTCACAGTCTATAGTGTGTTACACTCAGACACACAGGAAATCCATTGGTAACTGTTTATTTGAGTGATGCCTGAATTATCATCTGCAATGTCTGCATTCAAGTTTATAGGTGCTCTCCAGATGTGTGTGTTTGAAAGAACTTTTAGGTGTGTTACTTGTAATATTCAAGCTTTAAGTGACTAATTGACATATATTCATTGCGTACTTTGTTTGGGGTATGGATTTTTACAGAAAACACTCTGTATACCTTGCAACCAGGTCAGGAATTACTGGTATTTTAGAAGTTCTTGTTCCCGCTCCTGATTACTAATTTCTTCCCATGTCCATGGCAGCTGCTATTTTGATTTGTAATTCCATTGATTAGCTTTGCCTGGGGTTTTATTTGTTTGTTTTGTTGAACTAGGTCTTATAGCGAAGGCTAGCCTCCAGCTCATTGTGTGGCCCAGGCTGGCTGGCCTCATACTCCAATCTTCCTGCCTTAGCCTCCTAGGTGCTGTGTTTTCAAGCACATACCATCATGCCCAGTGTTTGCCCCGTTTGTTTGTTTTAGTTGTTGGGGCTTTAGGGGCGGTTGTTTCTTTTTAATTTTTGAGTTGAAGTTTTATGCAGCCTAAACTGTCCTCAGATTCTCTGACAGGAGCTGGCCTTAAACACCTGGCCCTCTCTGCTCCCACCTCCCAAGTGCCAGGTTTATAGGCCTATGCCCCCAAGCCTAGCCTATTTCCCTGTTTTAACTTTAGAATTATACATTATGGATTCCTTTACGTCTAATTTATTTCTTTCATCACTATATTCATGAGATTTATCCATATTATATTTATTTTTAATTTTTTATTTTTTTAATATATATATTTTTAATTTTATGTGTATTTGTGTATTGCTTGCATGAATGTGAGTGCACCCGTGTCCTGCAGTGCTGCGGAGGTCAGAAGAGGGTGTCGGATTCCCCTGGAACTGGAG